TATTTATTAACCTGGAACTGGTTCTCAAGCAGCAATTAATTCTAGTTGAACAAAGACACTGAAAACTAGTTTTCTGGTGAAATCGCGTTATTACTACGGATGGGTCTTAACTGCAACACTGCACAGCACAAGCCTTTGGTTTCATCAATTTTTCGAGATGGGTATTAGGAACAGACTGGTATATATCTTGAAAAGTACACCACCCTGTATAGATGCTTTCTTCTGACATATAGGTAGAGAAAGCGGTCGTTGAATAAAAAATACCTCCTTGGAGAACTGTTTATCTTTTTTATCCTGAAATACGGGGTTTTGTGCGATAACGTTTCTTTAGAATTCTGTTCGGTTTTGTATACATAAACAGTTTGAATAATTCCAAAGAATGGGAAGGGCCACATGGGGACAAGACGCCTTGCTTGAGTTTTGCATTTGACCTTGACAGCATTGCATTTATATCGCTCCTTAGGAAAATTCAATATACATACCGGGTGCTCCGCATGAGTTGACGCACACGACGCACTGTGCCTCAGGAGGGGCCAGAATGCAGTTTATGGGGGCCTAGTAACGGCTGAATGAATGCTTTCAAAATCATGACATGACGCCGCCTCCCTTAGCTCTATACTGTAGAGGAAATACAGCATTGCATACGCGTATACAATAAATTGTAATTGATATTCATGTAGACAATGGATAACAATATACCGCATTCGTAGTCCATTTCCGCCCAGACAAAACAACATGCTCAAAAGCGAGATTGTACAGATCCGTATTTTCCTCAATGGTCTTGGAATAATCTAACAAAATGAATTATTATTTTTATAGAACGAAATGCATATACTTTTCACAATTCTTTATTCGCTGGAAGTACTTGAACCATCGTGCGAATGGTTAATATAAATTATTACAGGTTCAATTTGGGTATCGACCATATTGTCTAGATCCCACATCTTTTATATCTGCCCAAATCATTCAATGGGATTTAATTAGTACTGGTCCTTAAAACGGTTAATTTTGGTTTTTAGCCATTTCGTCAATAACATTATAGATCATATTTAAATTTGTGCTGCCTGACTAGATGGATGAGTTCTGCTTTGACCATATTTTCAATGAAACTGATGTCTTTTGATGTTGAATGTCTGAATTTCTTGTGGACAGTGTGGGAATTTTTTCTAGTTTTCTAGGGTGCAGCATTATCAAGTACAACGACGGCATTATCGTCAAGCTTTAGGAGCAATCGGACTGATTGCATTCAGCATCGTCAATATTCAGATTAACAAAACCTTAAAGAAAAGCACACATGCTTTCTTACTACGTTCTCTTATTATAGTTTCTGATTCAATTTGTGCTTAATTAGGTGAGTAAAAATTGGTGAAATGGCCGGTTGATAGCTGCATATTATGATATGACAAAAGTTTCCTTACATTTGCGATTTTAAGCGACATTTAGATAAATTAAACAATCTTTTTACAGACACAGCTTTCGACATAATAGTCTCTCCCATCTTTGAACAAAATCAACTCTAGCTTAGTAATATCCTTATTTTCAGCACGCTCAAACAGCATAAGTAGGGTAGCGTGCAAATGATTTATCTCGAGCTTGCTACAAGTAAGCATGAAGTAAACGACAGCTAGTTACTCACAAGTTAACGTCTTGTTGGAAAACCATAATAGCTTGAAAAAAACGACACAATCTCACTTTTCAAGTTACGTAACACCGCTGGCGATAGCTATTGTATTTTTTACGAGTGTCCATTATGGTAGGATAACGACTGATTATCTAGTAAGATTTCAAAATGCCTGATATCGACAAGGCGCGAACATGACTAGGCGCCCCATTTCCTGGTGTTTCAGCTTATGCCGGGAATGGCCGTGTTTTTTCCACTTTTTTTCAATTGTTTTAGTTTTACTTATTTATGCGTAATTATAAATTTCCAAAGCGCAAAGTAGCCCTGCAATATCAGTAGCAATTTCACCGTCCATACTCGTCAAGAGCTATACTGCGAAGCCGGTGCGAACAACTGCGACTGTGGAACTGTAGGAACAATTTTCGGGATTCGCACGGCGATCCGCGTCACGAGTTCATGCCGAGATCCGCGCTTGAGTCTGGAGAGGGTATAATGGGTACTCATGAGACAGGGCTTAAAAAGTATTGAATTTTGACGTTTCCGAGTAAGCCTAACCTCACTTATACTATCCTATACATTGTATCGCCGATACCATAATCGACCAGAGCCGCTTTCCAGTGCTTTTGAATTGGGCGTTGTATGTGTTTGGAGTGTGACGCTCCAGCAAATGTGCACGGGAACGCAACCTAACCTGTTTTTTGATAATCTGCTTTGACGTTGACAATATGTATCACACTGCCAAACAATTTATTTATTTATTTATTTATTTACTTATTTATTTATTTATTTATTTATTTATTTATTTATTTATTTATTTATTTATTCATTTATTTATTTATTTATTTATTTATTTATTTATTTATTTATTTATTTATTTATTTATTTATTTATTTATTTATTATCTACCCAACAGCTACAAAGCCAATTACAGAGTAGGTCAAAGTCCAAATATCAAAAATACACAATATCTTACATATTACACACAAATGTAGGAAGTTCAATCACAAGGATACTATATACAAATATTTACAAAAATGGCAGTGTAGATAAAAAATTAAATAGCAAGTAGCCGACAAGACATCATAAGGAACCACGCAGCAGACAAGACATCAGGGAAATATATCTGATTGATCCGCAATGTCATTCGCTTTACCACATGAGCTATACAATGGAGAAAACTTTAAAATATTTTTTCTAGGGGTAGGCGAATAGAAGGTATTGCATTGTCTGGCATTCAAACGCGGGACAAGGAAATTAAAATCATGCAATATATTGCATATTGCAACAATCAATACGATTGTGCAATATATCAGTCGCGAACATAACACTGCACTTATCACGCCTCTCCCTAAGATTTTTAAAATCGAAAGCTTCTTCTAAAGACTCTTGTGGATAGCCAATCGGTGGGTAGATGCCATTTTACTTAAAGTAAAGGTACTTCATAAAATGCCGTTGGATATTTTCGAGTTTGTCTATCCAGAAGCAGTCGGAGGGCTGCCAAATAATTGCCGCATATTCAAACTTCGATCTTACAAGTGAGTTATATAGAAGCTTAATTGTTTTAATATCCTGCAACTTGCAACCACAGCGTATGATGAAGCCCAGCTTTTTGTAACTCTCTGCAATAATTGAATCCATATGACCATTAAAGCAATATTTACTGTTGAAAATGACACCTAAATCCTTTATTTCATGCAATCGATTAAGGGGCACACCACCAATATCATAGCCAAATATCATCGAATGTGTCTTATTCGTATAATTGACCACATTGCACTTCTCAGCATTCAATGGCAAACTATTTTCCTGACTCCAGCAGTTGAGCATGTTTACGTTATGCTGTAACTTTTCACAGTCAGTTAGAGATTGAATGGGACAGAGAAGCTTCAGGTCATCCGCATATAAAATAAAAGTGACATCTAATTGTAGTTCAATGTCATTTATAAAAATAATGAAAAATAAAGGTCCCAGAACAGAGCCCTGGGGAACACCTGATGCAATTTTATAAGTGTTAGATTTAAAGCCATTGTGCGAAACAAAAGATACACTATTTGACAAATAAGATTTAACAAACAGGAGAAGATAGCCAATGACACCAAAGTCAGCTAAATTGTCAAGAAGAATGCCGTGATCTACTCGGTCAAAGGCCTTTGAGAAATCAGTATAAACGACGTCCACTTGAGTACGAGAATCTATATTTCCAGATATATACTGAGCAGGGCAGAATAAGTTTGTCACAGTTGATCGTTTTTTCATGAAGCCATGCTGTTGAGTTGATAATGTATTATGCACATGCCAGTAAACTGCATCATATATAAGAAACTCAAAAACCTTTGAAAAGTTGTTAATTATCGTCATTTGTCTGTAATTCTCAATATCGCTCTTGTTACCCTTATTTTTAAAAACTAGACAAACTTTTGACTCTTTCCACGATGATGGACATTTACCATTTTGCAGCGATAAGTTGAATATCGTTGCTAAAGGCTTCGCAAATACAGATGCACAGTCTTTCGATATCAAAGTTGGAATGCCATCTGGACCAGAAGTTAATTTAGGCTTTAGTCTTCTCAAGGCATCATAAACCTCATTCACATTAAATTCAGTCACTGTTAAAGGACTACTTCCAGTTGACTGAGTGGAGTTGGTTTTGCCACTTGAGCTAGCAATAAAAGATTTACTGAAAAAGTTAGTAAAGCTGTTTAGAATATCTTGAGGCTCACTTATATCCAACCCGTTATAAGTTATATTCTTAGGTATAGAGCCATGACCTGTTCTGCTGCTGACAAATGACCAAAACTTTGACGGGTCTCGCTTTATATCATCTTCAGCTTTTTTTACATAGTCTTTATAAGCAATATCGATATCGCTTTTAATTTTGAGTCTCAAAGCTTTGTAATCATGCAAGGTCATTTCATCAGAATTTAACTTTAACCTCTTAAACAATATCTCCTTAGTTCTGATATCCTTTATTATGGTACCATTAAACCAAGGCGGGAATTGTCTACGACATCTGGTGGTGGAGTACTTTGGGACACACAAAGAAAAAATTACATTCAATGCAGCATAAAATTGTTCACACGCTTCCTCAACATCATGAATGCTATCGAGAAAGTTCCAATTGGTGCAGAATAGTTGATCATACAATAAAGAGATATTAGATTTTCTGAAGTTGAAAGAATTAGGCACCATTCTGTCAAATTGAATTTCTTGCTTGAGAAGCAATTCATTAATGGAGACAACTACCGCCGGGTGATGCTGATGCTCCATCAGTGTGGGATCGCTGCATTTATCAACACTGCACGTGAAATTGCATAAAACAATATCTAAAAGTCTCATGTTAGAATTGAAAACGTAATTATATTGCTCAAGAGAATAAAAGATGCAAAAGTTAAGCAAACTACTAACCACAGTGGATTCCTCACCACTTAGCACATATGCTGTTGAGTTGATAAAGTATTAGGCACATGCCAGTAAACTGCATCATATATAAGAAACTCAAAAACCTTTGAAAAGTTGTTAATTATCGTCATTTGTCTGTAATTCTCAATATCGCTCTTGTTACCCTTATTTTTAAAAACAAAACAAACTTTTGACTCTTTCCACGATGATGGACATTTACCATTTTGCAGCGATAAGTTGAATATCGTTGCTGAAGGCTTCGCAAATACAGATGCACAGTCTTTCAATATCAAAGTTGGAATGCCATCTGGACCAGAAGTTAATTTAGGCTTTAGTCTTCTCAAGGCATCATAAACCTCATTCACATTAAATTCAGTCACTGTTAAAGGACTACTTCCAGTTGACTGAGTGGAGTTGGTTTTGCCACTTGAGCTAGCAATAAAAGATTTACTGAAAAAGTTAGCAAAGCTGTTTAGAATATCTTGAGGCTCACTTATATCCAAACCGTTATAAGTTATATTCTTAGGTATAGAGCCATGACCTGTTCTGCTGCTGACAAATGATCAAAACTTTGACGGGTCTCGCTTTATATCATGTTCAGCTGTTTTTACATAGTCTTATTACTTATATCCAAACCGTTATAAGTTATATTCTTAGGTATAGAGCCATGACCTCTTCTGCTGTTGACAAATGACCAAAACTTTGACGGGTCTCGCTTTATATCATCTTCAGCTTTTTTTACATAGTCTTTATAAGCAATATCGATATCGTTTTTAATTTTGAGTCTCAAAGCTTTGTTATCATGCAAGGTCATTTCATCAGAATTTAACTTTAACCTCTTAAACAACATCTCCTTAGTTCTGATATCCTTTATTATGCTACCATTAAACCAAGGCGGGAATTGTCTACGACATCTGGTGGTGGAGTACTTTGGGACACGCAATGAAAAAATTACATTCAATGCAGCATAAAATTGTTCACACGCTTCCTCAACATCACGAATGCTATCGAGAAAGTTAGAATTGGTACAGAATAGTTGATCATACAATAAAGAGATATTAGATTTTCTGAAGTTGAAAGAATTAGGCACCATTCTGTCAAATTGAATTTCTTGCTTGAGAAGCAATATAAATATCCACAGCAGGTAAGTTACATTGCACATCTAAACAGACTGAGAAGAATTTATTCGTGATTGCCAAAAGTACGCCACCTCCACGTGTTTTGTTGACAAGAGAAAAATTTCTATCTTTTCTGTACAGATTGTAGTTCTGGTTAAATAATTCAGAATTATTGACTGAAGAGTCCAACCAGGTCTCAGATAGGGCATAGCAATCAAAATCAGCTGCACACGTGCCGTTGTAGAAAGCAGAAGTTTTATACTAAGTGACATATAAATCCGAACACCCAGTTTAAATGGTTTTATTTTAATAAAAGTTGGTGAATGTATTTACCTTACTGTAAATAACAAGTGAAAAAATTTTCAGCCTTATCAGGTGGACATTCCGGTTTTTATACTGCTTTTTTTTAATTCACTAACGCTCTAAAAATGAATATTTCAGCCGCAGTAAAGAATCAACGTGGGCGGATTTTGGTTCTCGACATCCTTTACGATCGGTTACGATGCCTAGAGTACGGAGACCTGTACGATTTCGTCAACTTAGTGAGTTTGATAAGGGCCGTATAGTGGGACTTCGGGAAGCTGGACTTTCTTTTCGGGCAATTGCAGTTAGAGTGCCAAGAAGTGTAGACACTGTGGTTAGGTGTTGTCAGGCATGGCTTCGAGAAGGCCGTACGCAAAGAGCAAGGGGCACTGGACTTCGCCGTAGAACAACAGACCGTGAAGATCACCTAAGATTATTGGCCTTAAGGGAGCGTTTCTCCACTACCAGGTCCATTGCAAATGAATGGTTTGCAGAACACGGAAGACCTATTGGCATGCGAAGTGTTTACCGACGAATGAGAAGTTTTGGCTTGTTTTCATACCGGCCACACTGGGTCCTCCCTTTAACTCGAGAACACCGACGTAATCGCCTTGAGTGGTGCAACGGTCACTCTGGGATCAGGAATGGAACAGTATTGTCTTTAGTGACGAGTCTCGATTTTGTTTAGGCATGCACGATGGTCGTGCCAGGGTTAGAAGGCGACGTGGTGAAAGGAGGAGTCCACAGTTTTTTGTTGAAAGACATGTTCATCACACTGTTGGAGTTATGGTTTGGGGTGCTATAGCTTATGGTTCCAGGTCACCTTTAATCTTCATCAGAGGTAACATGAACGCGCAGCGTTATATCCACAAAGTTCTAGAACCCCATATTTTACCCTATCTTGACACCCTGGCAGATCCAACTTTCCAACAAGATAATGCCCGACCACATGTTGCAAGAGTCACAATAGACTTCTTCCAACATAATGATGTCACATTGTTACCATGGCCACCAAGATCTCCCGACTTATCCCCAATTGAGCACGTGTTTGATATGATGGGTAGGAGATTGCTCAATTTGCAACGTCCTCGTCAGACTCTAGATGCACTTCGAGAGGAGTTGGTGGTTGCCTGGAATGAGATACCACAGGAGGACATTGAACACCTGATCAGAAGCATGCCTAGGCGCGTTGGAGAATGCGTAGCATATCAGGGTGCATCCACACATAATTAAAGGACAAAGGGCTTTAAAGCAGTGCAATCATTTTGAAATTTTTATCATTTACTTATTATACTTCATTAAGTACTTATACAATATTTTATTAAAATAAAACCATTTAAACTGGATGTTCGGATTTATATGTCACTTAGTATAGTTCTCAGGCCTCTTACATTTTGATAATAAACAGAGAGCTCTGGAGAGTTTTTTGACAAAGTTGTGGGTTCCAAGGTGCAAGAACTAGAGTCAGAGGCAATTGGTTGCTATTTTATACTTAACAGATCGGCTCGCAACTTGCTACAAGCCTGTAAGTAAGAGGAGCAATGTTTAATATCGCAGGCGGCGTGATTAGTACACACGTTAAGCTCACCTTTGCTTCGTGAAAATAAAAATATAAAAGCATTTTACCTTTATTTTTAGAAGCATATGTTTGTTACCTGTCTCCCTAAATAAACTCATCAAAACAGAGAATTACTGTTTTAACAAGCGTAGTAAATGCCATAAGTGCAATATTAGCTTTTCATCGTTTCTGACAAACTATCGCATCGGATTGGATTTTAATAAACCACGTTGTCGGCTTCATATATGCTGGCGCTCTCATAGACCAGAGCAAATAGCATATACAGGGTGACTTTGAAGTGGAGTCATTAATTTTCAGATAATGATTTTAGAAGGAAGATAAACCAAAATATGTGTGTAAAAAAAATAAAAAAGGTTACCTTGTTTTATAAAGTATCCTCCCGACAAGTATTTCAGTGCGGTCCTGTATTTGATCGTGCGGTCTTGGAGCACCGGCATGCCCTAACCTGTGAGGTCTTAAGTCACCTGATTCACGAGCCCTTTGTACTACATTAACAAAGGCACGAGGGGTTGGTTGCACTCGATTGGGAAACCGATCCGCATAAATCCGTTATGCCGCGGCAGCATTTTGTAAAGACTCCCCCCCCCCGTAAATAAGAATCATGTCCACAAGTTCAGCATTTTCGTAAACATGTGCCATTTATGATTTCGTTTGAACCACTATTCACTCACGCGTTACCGACTGACACATTGACTGACCACAACTGAATAAAATTGTAGTAAAAACATCGTGATAAGCGTTTCAAATTCTTTCGCTTTTTTATTTCCGATGCGATGAACCGATAAGGCGGATTATATCCGTTGTTGCCAAACACGAGCACATAATATTATTATTGAGACAGGGCGGTACTCAAACCTCTAAAGGGCTATAACTTTGTTACTTTAATTTTACCAGAAAAATGTTAAAGGAAAAAACATTTCCTTTGATCAGATCTACTCACTGTTAAAATAAGTGACTCAACTTCGAAGTCACCCTGTATAATAGCGATGAGAAAGGGATGTATGTAGGTAATTTTTGTGTTTGATCATAAAACGTCAGCTCGCTACCTGTATTTTTTGAACAAAGGTAGAGGGAACGCAAATGCGAGCCCTTTGATATTTCTTTTTAACATAGATTACTGGATAGTAAGCTTATGGAGATGAAGCGCTGATGCTATTATGCAAAAAGTGGAGTTACGAGATGATTTGGTAAGTTTCTGGACTCGCAAATAGGCCTAGGTATCAGGCATTGATTTTCTGGACAATTAGACAGTCCCTGTGTACCAACGAGTTTGAAAAGATTAGAAAGAGTCATGAGTATTTACATTGCGTTGTTTGTCGCCAAAATTGCGTAGTTTTAGTGCCTACCTTTGACTCATTTTTCTACCAATGCTTACCAGTTAGAAAGGGATCAACATAATAATACTTACCGATGGAAACACCTACCTTCATCAGACTGGTGCTATCTTTTACAAATTATGTAAGGAGCAACACGTCTTGAAATCGTCTAACTCCGCAATTATCTGCAAACACTCGCACTTTTGAAAAAATAACACTGAAACTACGATTTTAAAGTCAAGAGATTGAGTTATGACAAGTGCACTTGGAATCTCATAACAGACTCTGATAATAACAAATCCTTGACTGGCTCTTTCTGAAATAGTTGCTGTCATCAAATACACAATTTCAAGCTGATCTGAACAATGGTTTCCTTCTTACAGCGATTTGACGCTACTTTACTGGATAACTAAACACTCCCTATGAAGACATGTGCAATTTCAAACTGATTTGGAAACAGTTTTCTTTTTACAGCAGTTTGAAATAGAGTTGCTCGGTGTTGTCCCATTTACACTGAGAAGAATTGAACGGGGAAGAGTGGGATACAAATACTGATATATTAAATGTATGAGAAAGTGATACTCCTTTATGATTAGCAGTAGATATTTAATCCAATTATTAAATTCAAAGGCAGTTGTACAGAAGTCCATGGCGGGGCACGTCGTGGACGCCCGAAAAGTGGTACCGGTGACGTTTTGTTAACTCTGTATACGCTAGTTTTAGTTTCAGATACTAAATGAATAACTACATATGAAATTACCCAGGCTATGCGCTTCTAGGATTACGGTTTGGAAACCCATTGTCAAGGTGAGTCCCGAATTCGTTAACTTTGAATGAAAAGTGAATTCAAGTAAGACTTTACCAACCTCATCAGGATTTGCAACAAATAAAATTGATTTTATGCATTGATTCATAATTATGGATGATATTTGTGTTTACCACTATAGCGCTAAATTCCAACTTCAAATAGCAGAGTGGACTGAGTTCGGGCGAAAAGTCAGGCCTAAACAAGTCAAAATCATCTTCCAACGGGACCACATACCTGCTCAGAGAAAAGCTCTGGCAATGTCAAAAATAAGTATGATAAACCACATTAACTCAGATCACGGTGTTGTGGAGGTTAGGTTTCGGTCAGAAGCCGCTGTGGCAGCAGAAACTCGCACAGGTCGCAAAACTTGGCATTACGGACATGCCGACTGGGAGGGGCTCAGAGACTTCTTCTCTAGCTTTCCTTGGAGAGATGTCTGTTTCACTGACGCGGATGCGTTGACTATTTGTTCTTCGATAACCGAAATTATCCACGTCGGAATGGAGGAATACATCCCTCACACAGTGAAAGCTCCTAAACCAGGGTCCAACGGCTGGTTCAACAAATCGTGTACACTGCTCGCCAGCAGAAGATCAAGGCCCACAGAACCTACTTACAAAACCCCACTGTAGAGAACAGACAAACCGACGTCGAGTCCAGAAACAAATATAACGAAGCGGTTCGCAATGCCAAAAACCAGCATGATATAAAAGTTAGGCACAGGGTAATGTCGCAGCGCAATGGCAGTCGGTCTTTCTGGACGCTGGCCAAGCAGATTGAAAAGAACTTCTCACACAGTAGCCTTCCACCACTTACGTGTCAGGATGGAACTATTGTATTCGACTCAAAAGCCAAGGCGGAAGTGCTAGCCAAGGTCTTTGCTGCCAACTCCACCATGGACGTCCCCACCAACGCCGTCAATTCAAAGGGTTCCCCACACTATGCGGGAGGTAACATTCAGGCATAAGACCGTAAGACGAGTGCTCTTGTCGCTCGACATCAACAAAGCTTCTGGTCCGGACTTGATTCCTGCCATTGTACTGAAGAGATGTGCAGTGGAGCTTGCTCCAGTTCTTTCGCGTCTCTTCCAGATATCTTATGAATCCGGCACCTTCCCAGAAAACTGGAAATTTGCTCATGTACAGCCCATCCCAAAAAAAGGATCTAAAACCGACCCTTACAACTACAGGCCTATAGCTCTGCTTTCTGTTATAAGTAAAGTGATGGAGAGGTGCATAAATCGCGAGCTTCTAGACTACCTCGAACGTCACAGCTTGATTAGCGACAGGCAGTACGGTTTCCGGCACCAACGATCCACAGGGGACCTCCTAGCTTACGTCACGCAACTGTGGAGTAAACTCATCCAGTCTCATGGTGAGGCTCATGTCGTTGCTCTTGACATCACGAAAGCGTTCGATCAGCTGTGGCACGCTGCCCTCTTAAGCAAACTTCCATCCTACGTCCTCCCAGAAAAGCTTTGCAGATGGGTGGCTGACTTTATCTCTGGCCGCAAGATATCCGTCGTAATTGACGGATTCTCCTCTTCATCCCACAATGTCAACGCGGGTGTTCCCCAGGGATCAGTCTTTGCTCCAACACTGTTTCTCTTACATATCAACGACCTCCTTTCCTGCACGATCGACTCAATCCACAGCTTCGCTGATGACAGTACTCTACATGCAGGAATTCAGAGTGACAAGCCGATATCTGCCGCTGAGCTGGAAAAAAGAAGACTAGCGACGACTTCTTCTCTGACAAGAGACCTGGAGGCTATCACTGCTTGGGGACGCAACAATCTTGTACAGTTCAATGCTTCCAAAACACAGTACTGTACTTTGACGAACAAAAAGCGTCCTAGCGCTCATACAGTTTCGATGGACGGTCGAATTCTACCAAAGAGCCATTAATTTCGGCTGGTCGGAGTCCAGATCACCGAGGACCTGATCTGGCACGAACACATCTCTTCAATAGCTGCAGCTGCTGGGAAAAAGCTAGGCTATTTGTTTAGGGCTAAGAAGTACTTTTCTCCGCATGACCTTCTCACTCTATACAAGGCCCAGATAAGGCCTAGCCTCGAGTATTGCTCACACATTTGGGGTGCTGCCGCCCCGACTACATTGTTCATGCTCGATGCTGTCCAGAGGAGGGCGGTCCGACTGATCGATGACTCTTCTCTAACAGACAGTCTCGGGACTCTTTCGCACCGGCGGGCCGTCGGCGATCTAGCTCTTTTCTATCGCTACACCAACGGGCTTTGCTCCTCAGAGCTCTCTTCCATGATGCCACCGCGTGATGTGCCTGCCAGACAGACCCGCCTGACTTCGGCGTCCCATCCTAACCGTGTCAAACTTCGTACATCCAGAACTGGCCGATACGACCGCTCCTTTGTCCCGAGGGTGTCTAGATAGTGGAACAATCTACGGGAGGAAGCTTTTCCCAGTTCTACTAACCTTAGGCAGTTCAAAAATCGTATTAACAAAATTTCTTTGGGATCATCATAGCAGCCGCGGTGTTCCGGCATTTAGGCTTCTGCCTGCGCGGCTGTTTCGATATAAATAAATAAATTAATTTGGAATCCTCTAAATATATACGAGGGTGGTCCCAGAAGTACTCGACCCAACGAAGAAAACCCAAAATTTTTGTAAAAAAATGTATTTGTTCTTCAACATAATCTCCTTTGAGCTCTATACACTTATACCAGAGGTGTTCAATAAGTTCGATATCCTTTTTATACGAGGCGTGTCCGTAAAATAAGTTCCACAAATTTTTTTCATATCAAAAAATTGGTTTAATTGCAAAGAAAATACATTTTTGGAAAGTTCAGTCTTTTTTTTATTTTTCTACATAATCTTCGTTGCGTTCTATGCATCTCTGCATTCGAGGCACCCACTTCTTCAAACCAGAGTCATAGAACTCTTCCGCCTGTCCGTGTAGAAAACTAACAACCGCGTTTTGCACCTCTTCATCTGTCTGTAATTGGGTTCCGCCAAGGTTTTTCTTCAACTCAGGGAAGAGATGGAAGTCACTTGGTGCTAAGTCTGGGCTGTAGGGTGGGTGAGACACCATTTTCCGTGAAAAGCGAGAAATTCTTGGGCCGCTTCAACCCGTTGCCGCCGGTGGTCTGCAGTGAGCATTCTTGGTATCCATCTTGCGCAGACCTTTGAATAGCCTAAATGTTCAGTCAAAATCTTGTCAATTGTGGTTTTGCTGACCTCCGGAATCTTTGTGCACAGCTCCCGAACTGTAATCCGTCGATCTTCAAGCATTGCCGCTTACGCTTTGGCAATTGTTTCGTCGGAAACCGATGGCCGCCCTGCACGGGCTTCGTCGTGGACGTCTGTTCGACCATTTTTAAAGTCCCTGACCCATCTACGCACCATCCCGCAGCTCATACAGTCTTCTCCATACACTTGACAAAGTTCTTCGTGAATTTCCTTCGCGGCCAGGAAACGAAAAACAGACCGCAACTCGCAGCTGGCGGGAGACGCTAGAGGAAGCTCCATCGCTGACGGCTGCTGAGCCAAGACTAAACGTCGCAGCGACGCTGGCTTGATGAGGGATTGGAGTGGGGGAACCAAACAATCTGCCTCTGTTGCCTGGCTGTGCATAGAAACGATCCTAGCGCCAGCGGCAGCCCGTGGAACTTATTTTACGGACAAGCCTCGTAATAAAAACTGTCTTGCTCGTCAAAATAGCCATTAACTGCCGACATCACTTCTTCATCGTTGGAAAATCTTTGACCACTGAGCCATTTTTGGAAGTTTGGAATAATCCGAGGGAGCTAAATCTGGTAAATAGGGTGCATGAGGCAGCAATTCAAAGTTTAATTCGTTAATTTTGGCCATTGCAATAACGGATTTGTGAGCTGCTGCATTGTTTTGATGAAACAACACTTTCCTCTTAACCAAATGCGGCCGTTTTCGCTTGATTTCATCGCTCAAACGTTGCAATAAGTTCGCATAATACTCGCCGTTGACAGTTTTACCTTTTTCACGATAGTCAATGAAAATTATCTCACGCGCATCCCAAAAAACCGACGGCAAAACCTTGCCTGCAGATGAAACGGTCTTTGCCTGCTTTGGAGCCGGTTGTCCCTGTTGAGTCCATTGTTTTGATTGTTCTCGGGTGTGAAGCGATGGACCCACGTTTCATCCATGGTTATAAAACGACGCAAAAGTTCTGCTTTGTTGCTAAACACTCTACTGAAGCATCTTCACGACACTGTTTTTGCTCGATTGTGAACAGTCGCAGCACCCATCTTGCACACAGCTTTTTCATGTCAAAATTTTCAGATAATATGCGATGAACCGCACTTTTTGAAATGCCTACTATCTCTGCCAGCTCGCGCACTTTCAGTCGACGATCATTCAGTACCGCAGTACCGCTTTATGAATTTTCTTCACCATTTCTGCAGTCGTCACCTTATTTGGTCGACCACTGCGATGCCCGTCTTGGCACCTCATACGGCCTCGTTTAAACTCTGCTACCCTGTTGTAAACGAAGGAGCAGACTCACCTAGAGTAGAATCCAGTTCAGCTTTTATATTGGTTGGGCTGAGGCCTTTGAAGAAAGATATTGTACCACATAACGATGACCAATTTTCTCTATTTTCACAAATTCACTGAAAACGTTTAGGATTGATGGCTGCCAAACAAATACTAAACAGCGTGGCGTCTTCGAACTTGACACATATGCTTTATAGATTGCATAGTTTCTAATACAATGATATTTATCAAACAAGTATCGCCATCTCTAGGTCAAGCCGGGTACTTCTGGGACCACCGTCGTATATCATGCTATTCCATTTGAAAAAGGTCCATTTAAAAGCACTTTTCTGGGAAAACGTGCATGTAAAGAAGATATTGCTCGTAAAACTTAGCATTAGACCTACGGCTTCTGTATCAGTCATTTCTCTCTAAGTGGCGATATAAAAATGTTAGGGGGCTAATTTATAGCGAAACACTCTGTACATGTGTGTTTTCGGGGGAGGCCAGGAACCGAGAAATCGTAATTGTGCTTGCCGGAGCCCGAAGTTGGTCCCGCACGATTGCAGCAACGCATATTGGCAATCGCAGACAGCGGCGGCTGAAGCGTGGAACGTTCCAAAGCGCGCTTGTTGCTTCTAATTGCAATCGTATTGCCAATTTTGCGACGCAAAATCCCATCTGACGCTCTCTTAATTACTTCTGTGTTAAAATAGGAAGCGGTCAAAACATGGTAACGAAATCATGCCTACTCATAACCCGAGATTACAGCTGATACTATAGGGTCACTAATCAATTTACTGAGCAATAAGCAGGTTTGGTCAAAGCTTTAAAGGCTTTTGGAAGACCAACAACCACCATGCACCTGGATTAGACCATTCTGATTTTGGAGTCTGAAATATTCACGGATCTGCTTTTAACGATGATCATTGCTATATGAGCTTAGAAAAATATACGTTCTCCCTCCCAAGTGTTATTTGGGGCTGGATTGTCAGCTATCACAAACTGTTCCGGATACCACCAAATTCTTCTAGAATTGGTCAAAGAAAGAAATTTTGCAGCAGGTGGACGCGGAGCAATAGGTGGTAATCTGGAAAGCGAAAATTAGATGATGCTGGCTAGGCTGGCTTTCTTTTCCTGCTACTTTTGACAGTTAGACCTACAATTACATTAGCGCCACCCAGTGGGCGCAAAATTGGCAATCGGTACTACTATCACTTAAGTCGTTGATCTTCATGTTCACATCCCGTACTCAAGGATATCAGTGGCAATGTTTACACCATAGGCTGCAAACCACATAATCGTGATGTTACTGTTCCAAGAGATGGCGCATCAGCAGCCCATTTAAACTGACTATTAAGCCAAGCCTTTTTAAGACAACACACACCATAATGTAACACTTGAAACTTATCCTGTGGAGTTGACGCTGATAGGACTCTATGATAGTCTACCTGATAAATAAAGCCACATAAATATGCTTGAAGTACTTTTCTCACTGACGCTTCGGTCACGGCGGTGGCCTTTTTAAAAGTACAACTTACACTAGCAATATATTTTGTCGGTTGAGGGTTGATTTGTTTTCTTTCTTCTTTGCTATACAGTGTGCCTCGTCAACGTTTATCTCTGTCTGTTGTAGTTTGGAATGTTAATAAGGAAATGGAGTCAATTAGATTGACTCTATGCTTTCCACGCCTTCGAAATAACGTCCAGTACAATTTTTCATGAAGTGGCATTAAAAAGACGTGAGTTTTGTGTTAACCATAGCACTATTTCGGCTTTTAATGGGAAAAAATGCTTAGATTGCACCAATGAAGGTGTCAGTACGCGTTTGACTCATTTCTTGTAGCGTTGTCTTCTACTTGCTTTTATTAGTCCATCGGATCCATTACCCAACATAAAATATTTGCAGCCCCTTGGCGCACGGTAACTGTGACCGATAGTTATGCGATTCGTCTGCTGAAAATGTTTTTAGGGGCAAATTTATGGTTTGTCGAATATGTCTAATAGGTTCGCAGAATAACCAGGATGGAAGTGTATATTAATTCTCTAAACTGTCAAAAAAAGTTTGAACGAGTTTTGTTTTGGTTTCTGGCATTTTTCTGCACCGCCCCTGCATCGATTTTCAAAAAGCTTCTGTATCATTGACATAGGAGCAAAATTGTGAAACAATTTTATTCAGATGCGAGCAAGACTTAATTTATAGACGTGTCAAGGATTTTGCGGACATACCGACAAACCGACAGAAAGTCCGACGGAAATGAGTTACATCGTCAGAAGGCATTGGAACTAATCAATATGTGGCTTCATTTAGCAGCCAGACAATCATGGAATCCTATAAATGACCATATTCATACCGTGGCCACTAGTACTGCTTTAAGCCCTTATACAGGGTGACCCATCTATGTATGGACGGAATATTACTCATAAACAATTACATTTTGGGAAAATCTATTCACGGCATGTTATACATGCAATTTGAGAGAACATTTTTAAAATATTGGCAATTATACAGGATGTCCCAATTTTGACCTACATATCACAGCTGAGATTTTTTTAAAGGAATGCATCAAATTTTGTTGCATATTTTGATGAACCAATTCAAAAGAAGAAGATTGATATGACATACTATGGGGTTTTGGTAATTAGCTACTGAGATGTAAGGTGTTTTGTCCAGAAAAACCGTCCACTCCACCTCAATCCGCCACTTTGAAATCTGGAGTTCTGAATTTTGTATCAAAGAAACTGACACACTTCGGCTTTTATCTTATTTATTACTTTTTGGAATTTCCATTTTTGCTCAGACAGGGTATGGTGGTCAAAAACGCAAATTGAACTTTTTCTCAAAAATTTCAAATGCATCACCCTGTATATTTGTGCAGGTTTGGATTCAGTTTTTTATAAGCTCTTTTTTTGGTAATAGGTTTGATTCTGATGAAATCACTAGATTTTGAGTTATTAAGCTTTTAATAGAACATCACACCAAAATTGAAGAAAAAATCACATCAACCATGGAAACAAAATACAAACAGTGGGCTAGTTCCATATTGCCACTTAAAGTACATATTTGAGGTAAAAACTAATAACAATCAGAACAGTATAAATCAGCTTCAGGCGTAATAGAGAAAAACAACTATAACAACATAGACAAACAACTACCACTACTCAATACCTAATCTACAAAACCTGCTCGAAAACATCCCCACGTTGTAGTCTTTGGATAAATGCCCGTTGCACATCCTTCAGCATGTGTTCCCTTATGTTCAAAAAAGCATCCTTAATCCTTTCCTTTATATTTTCCGGGGTAGATGGTGGATACCTATAAACCTCTTGCTTAACGTAGCCCCATAGCAAGAAGTCCATCGGTGTCACATCTGGTGATCTAGGAGGCCGAGGTATAGGCCCATCACGACCAATCCAACGACTGTTATTCCAGGTGTCCGAATAGTTACGTACACGATTATGATAATGCTCAGGTGCGCCGTCATGTTGGTAGTATATACGCATCCGAGTTTGCAGGATGACATCCTCCAAAAGCAAAGGCAAATGCTCGATCGAAGAATTCAAGTAGTCTGTACCTGTTAATCTGTTGTCGAAAAAGGAAGGCCCGATAACTTGTCTGCCAATAACTCATCCCAAAACATTTAAGCTCCATTTATTTTGGACATTTATTTGCCTAACCCAATAAGGGTTTTCCTTCACAAAATAGTGCATGTTATGCCTGTTGACAACACCTATGCCGTTAAAAGTTGCCTCATCGCTAAAAAGAACCTTATCCAGGAAAGTAGTGTCTTCACTCACTTTATTTAGCATTATTCTATTAAAGTCGCTTCGAGCTGAGAAATCCTGAGGACGAAGGCCTTGATGCAAGCATAGGTGATATGGATGGTACCTATGCTTGTGAATAATCCTTTGGACAGAAGCTCTGCATATATCAGTTTCTGCTCCAATTTGCCGTGCACTTAAATGAGGTTTTTCTTGCAACTTTAATACCACCAACTGATTCGCCTCATTGGTGACACTTGTATTATTTATTCATTTTCTACTATATTCCACTGCTCCACTTGATTCAAAACGTTCTCGTAGTGTGGAAAATGTTTCCGGCTTTGGATGTGGCATATTAGAGTACCGTTGCTTATAAATGCGAGATGCTGGGAAAATATTTATTTGGGCTTCGCCCAAAACGAACACCATACTTACCATTTCTTCTTTAGAAAAGTTCATTTTCAAACACGTTTTTATTATAATGCTCACAAAGCTAGTTTTGACAGTTTGTAACTAATCAACAATTTATTTGTTTCCAAGGATGATGCAATATTTTAGGGAATTGAGCCGTTCCATAAAAGACGTGCGAATAACCGAAAAAATAGCCGTGTCTAGTACCAAAAAAAGAGCTTACAAAAAATTAAATAGAAACGTGCACAAATATACAGGGTGATGCACTTGAAATTATTGAGAAAAGTTTAAATTCGAAAAAGTAGCAAATAATATAAAAGCTGAAGGGTGTAAGTCTTTATTGATACAAAATTCAGCACTCCAAATTTCAAAATGGCGGACTGAGGGTTGCCGAAGTGGGGAGTTTTTCTGGACAAAACACCTTATATCTCAGTAGCTACTTACCAAACTCCCATAGTATGTCATATCAATTTTCTTTTTTTGAATTGGTATAACCAAATATGCAATAAAATTTGAGGCATTCCATTTCAAAATTGTCAGCTTTGATATGTAGGTCGAAATTGGTATAATGGCCAATATTTTAGAAATGTGCCCTCAAATGTCATGTATAAGATCCTATAAATAGATTTTCCCGAAATGTATTTGTTTATGAGTAACATTCCGTCCACACATGGATGGGCCACTCAGTATAGTGCACAGTAAGAAACTTTCTATCAAATAAGCAGCCATATATATCAGCCTACATGCTGGCGAAGACTTTGGAGTCATCTTTTGTCTCAACTGCGGTTAATTCTAGGTGATCTGTGATTCCTTGAGATATTACACAAAAGTGCCTAAATGCTTGATTACAATGGTATTCTGATATATGTACAGTAAGAGTAGGCTAACGATCATTTGGTTTCTTCTTTCTTCTAGTAGGATCACTTAGTATACAAAGTAATTTCGTTTTGTGTTCCGAGCTTTATTTTCGTGAGCTGTCTCTGAGAGTAATTGCCAGTGTCCACCATATGTTCTCATTGCGATTTTACGCGAACATAGCCCTTCTACAGGATTCCTCAGTTCAAGCAGTTGAATGGCAGAGGGTTCCTGATGTATCAATCAACACGTTGTTCCGATAACATGTGACTCAGTCATTGAAACTACTCTAGGGATTTTTCGAACAATTTATTTGCTATGCATGTTTGCTTTGTAAGTATAACAGTTGAAACGATTTTTTAACACTTCCGTAATCTTTTAGAGCATATACCATTTTAAGATAACATACACGGAATTTCGCAGCTAACTTCCCATCACAGTTACGTAGGAGTAGGCGGTCTTGATAATCTGAAAAGATGAAGAGATCATCACATCTCAAGGTGGTTCGTGACACTAGAGCCGATTTTACAGCATTCAGTTAAAAGCTGAGCTCCAGGTGATACTCTATATCACACATACTGTTAACACAGCTTGGAGAAAATCGCATGTGAATTCCTCTAGTGCAACGATGTCCAAAAAGAAGCAACAGATGACTATTTATTTATGAAAGAGCTTCAAAATAAATTTTTAATGGTGTAACTATTTACAATAAGCGGAAAGGTATTTACTATGTATTCTACGCTGCTGTCAGTCAGTCCGTTGCATTTTGTAAGCAGTGGTAGAAACACCAGACAAATACTACCTTCACTCAATCATAAGAATTTCGGTGTTTTTGTCGCGGAAAAGACGAGACCACTGGAATATGCAAATGAGAGACATTGTTGATCAGTAAAACTAAACCATTTTTCACGAATATTTTTTTATTCTTCAATCACCCTAAACAAACTCATTTATAAAATGTATGTATTGTATTGTCATTTAAATATTTTTCCATTTTTGTAAATACATACATCCACCAATACAAATTTATTTTATTAAAGTTTCATAGTATAATTTTTACGATTGCAAATAATATCTGGCGCCGCTAGCAGGGTAGGTGGCAACTCCGGCTACTGCTGAGGCTTAGAACCTCTTTCATAGATGTAATGGGGGAATTTGCGTTCGGCTTTCTCGGCCGAAATGGCAGTCTTTTTTGACAGCGACAGGAGATCTTCATAGCTGGTTGCTAACTACCAGATGAGAGTTAACCTTACATTATTTAACGAGTCTTTTGAATATGAATCCTTCAGACTCAATTATGGTATACCCTCCGAAATGATATCCTTTTCTCTGTGGTAATGGTGGACTAGTTAAAAATGACTGTCCAATGTCCTTTCGATAACCATAATGAACTCACATTCATGTAGTATAGTATCTGATTGAACTTTCGTACTTAACAGTGGAAATCCGAGGGATCATTTGCTGGATGAATTTGTTGCACACATAACAGGCAGTTTTCGGCATTACGAGAAATTGATAGGAGCTAGGTGAATTGTGGGGAACTACGGTTATCCATAGAGAATTACAGGAATTAGGCAAGGTATTGAGCCAAGTGTTTTAGTTTCATGGTAAAAATTACGCAATATGACATGTAGGTTGGCCAATGTATCAGATGCCTGTTTCTCGGTGCTGGTTGCCCATAAAGCGGCCACTCGCAATCGGAATTCAGATTCTGAATAGCCCAGGAATTTATAAAAACCTGACAGAGTCTAATATTCCTGGGCTGTTTCGAATCCGGAAACAAGCTGAATAAAGCTTTACCTCAATGCCATATAAAAAGTGGTACGGTGTATGTAATTCATTCATCAAATCGTTTAACGATAGCATAAAGCACATAAAAAATAAGGTTATTTCAGATGACGCAGAAGCATCGGATCAGATTATACAGGGTCCGCCAAAGGAACCTGATGAGTTTCAACATGAAACTACAAATGTATATTTCAAGATATTTGTTTTCATATATAAGTAATCGAAAATGTATTACATGCCATTTTATGTATGGAAAATAACTTCGGTCAAATGATGTCCTTCACTGCGGACACACTCTTCCAAACGGTTTCGCACATTCCCCATTACGCGCTGTACCATACTCATCGGAATCGCGCTAATTTCATTGCGAATGTTTTCCTTCAATTCTTCAATGGTCCTTGGGCTCGTTAAATATACCTTGCTTTTGAGATAACCCCATAACCAATAGTCACAAGCCGTGAGATCGGGAGACCTTGCCGGCCAAGGAACATCTCCATTCCGCGAAATGACTCTTCCTGGAAACATTTCTCGCAGTCGAACCATTGTTGCTCGTGCTGTACGCGCTGTGGCGCCATCTTGCTGAAACCATACAGTATTTAAATCTATGTTCCGTCGACGAAGCCCTGGTTCCAAAAATGTGTTTAACATTTCCAGATAACGTTGCGAATTGACCGTGACAGAATTTCCAGCATCGTCCTCAAAAAAATAGGGTCCAATTATGCCGAATCGCGACACTCCGCACCAAACAGTAACCTTGCAACTATGAAGGGGTCGCTGGTGAAGTTCTCTCGGGTCTTCTGCACACCAGTAGCGAAAATTCTGCTTATTTACGTAGCCTGATAACTCGAAATGCGCCTCATCAGACATAATTAAGCCACCTAAAGCGTTTTCATCCAAAAGTTCCAGAAGCTGGTTGCTTGCTGTCAAACGGTTCACAAAGTCTTCAGCTGTCAGTCCTTGAACCATCGCTAATTTGTAAGGGTGATAATGTAAATCCTTATGCAAAATACGCCGCACTGTTGTTTCTGAAAGCCTTAGACTAATTGCTTGTAGCCTAGCTGAACGACGTGGACTTTGCTGCACCGCTGTTCGCACCCTCTCAATGTTGGCTGGAGTCCGAACTGTTCGACGCATTCCTGGTGGCTTAGCTTTCATTGCTGATGCAGATCGACGAAAATTTTTGACCCACAACTTAATTGTGTTACGGCATGGAACAGAACCATGACGTCCGACATTGAAATGTGTACGAAATAGACGCTGTGTAATGATCACCGAGTCGTGATTTTTAAAATACGTCTCGACAACAAAAACACAGCTCCATGACTACTGAAATGGCATCTACTACCGATGTCTTGCCCTCTGTAACCGATGTTCTACGTCAAAAAACAGCTTCGTACTATCCATTCTGAAAACGTCAGGTTCCTTTGGCGGACCCTGTATTATTATCCATCAACGCTTTATTACATAGGAAGTAGTAAGTACATATTTGGAATACTTAACTTGGAACACTTAGTTATCTAAATAAATGTAAACGACGTATGTATTTTTTTGCCGTAAACATAACGTCCTAAGTCACACGAAACCACAAGTAGGTACTAAAAACTTGACGCCGTCATGACATTTCCTGCTACCAGCCACACGGGAACGAGAAGTCTACTTTGAAAACTATTTCGGTAAGAATGCAAACATTGATAATCATTTACTATGAGACGCAAAATCTGCATTGCAATTATTTGAACTCTTATGTGTCCTTGTTTGTTTACAATTTTATTTTGATTTTGTGAATATATTTGGAATTAAAAATGTGAGATGGAATTTTATGTTATTATATCATGTTGTTAATTTGGAATACTGAAAGTGAACATAATTTGGAATAGTATTTATGGTATAGGTATTAATTCCTCTGTGTTTTTTAAAAATATCAACATCTCACAAATACACAAGAAAGAGATGGGAAAAAGGAGGAAATGTGCTTAATGCGCGAATTGTGGGTTCACGCTGCTTGTGGTTGTTATGAATCCGGTGTCGGTGTGTCTGTCTTTGGTTATCGGAAGAACAGTAACTAAGAACACTAAACTATACGTTCAGGCTGAATACTGATTTGTGATTATTGTGACTGATAACTTAATAATCATTAATGATTATAAGCTATTTTGTTAAACAGGTTAATTACCAAAGACTGAAAAAAGGTTACAAGGTTGAGAAATTCATTAGCTTCTATGAAAAAAGTGAAAACAGTTGTCAAAAAAGGTGATTATAATTTGGAATACTACTGATGGGGTTCCTGGTTGTTATTTTGTTTCATTGCTCGTATCATTAAAATTCAATAATTTCCAAAAATTTAATCTTGCAATTTATTTCCAAAAAACAAACCAGTATTCCAAATATGCTGCAGTTCCGCTACAGAGTTACCTCATCTACATCATTTTGGATAATTGTCTTTCATTGTCAAGAAGGATCGTAAGAAAAGAATGTAAAATTACCCTTATAAATAGAGCGTACTCATATCTTCCAAACAGAATAGCTGGAATTATACAGACCACTTGACTTCTGGCAATCATAAACTGGACGGTCCTCATCTCAGAGGCTGTTCCTTGATACCAGTCCATACAATACATGGCATCAGCTGCCCCTGATGTCTGAAAATCAATAAAATTGAGACTCTGTTACAGGACGTTATCAGGAAATTTGAGAGCAGATTCACTATATTACAATATGAAAAAAGCACTCCATTGGTTTCTACAAAGAAATAGTATTTGCAAAGAGGCAGAAGCAAGCTTCTAGTATCCGTTTTCCAACATTGCCCAAATAACGTGGAATTTATCGATATTGTCCGGTCATAATGCATGGTGCCCAACTTAACTGGCCATTATCGTCATCCATCGGCTCTTAACGTCACTGAACGACTTCTCGTCTTTGTCGGAGTGAAATGCCTTTCGCACATGATTCAACCATGACTTTTCATAGGAAAGTGGTCCTTACGAGACCAGACATCAAATAGCAAGCTCCTAATATGACCATACCTTATCCATTATTTTTTGACCGGCTCTGCTGAGTATGGCTAAGGCGCTCATGTAGCCAACGAGGAAAATCACAGCTCCGAGAGGCTTACTCTGAAACGTTAGTCATATAGAATAAAAACGGTCTTTAGGAGTCTCAAATAAACCAACGCTGGCAACAGTTCATAAGAGACTAGCGCAATAGGCGTGCTAACGCAATGCCGTTTATTGTGGAAAATCTAACAACTAGACATCGGCTGATATATCTTTTCCGACATAAATAATTGACAAATTTTGAAGTGAATTTTCAGCTTATGCCTATTATCACTGGTAGTTATTAGATCAATTTTGTATCACTCTGTTGCATGCGGCAATTTGTGCAAAACATAGGTTTGTTATAATGTTTAGTTAGATCCTAGAGATACTATTAAAGCAAAAACAAACAAAAGATTTACGGTAGTAAGTAAAAATTTGTGGTGATTAATTTTATACATATATTCTACCATACTACACCCTGTACAGTATGGTGAGCTGGTAGGTCACAGACAACAAGTGTGCAGTTTTTGATATTTTTTTAATTCTGTCATATATTGTCAGATTGTACGTTACGTATGTTGACAGTTAGCTGTTAGGTATCAGGTTGGTAGTTAGGCACCCAACTAGCAAAGTAGTGCTATAAGCTTTTGCTAAAAGAACCGTTCAGCCATAAAAGCTCTCTATTGTTGTTGCCTGAACACCAAAATGCTGGCCTAATGTTGTGTGGAATGCAAATTGGCTTTCTGCAACATATTTGCTCTAAAATGAGGTGTTTAAAATATTCTTATAGCATAGTTACACAACACCTTATAGGACAAATTTTTTACTCTTGCATAAACGTTTATACACTATTTTACACGGCATATGTGCAGGTTAGTCAAAATGGTTGTATTGTGGCATCCATGGTAATGTTTATAAAACAAACCCGAGCCTTGTTGTTTTGCTGTGCAAATTTACTACTTTAGCCAACAAATTGCTCCCAACGGAAGCACTTATACAACTGTTGTTTAGTGACTGTTAAAGGCTGTACATATGCTAAATATATCGGTATACAGCTTCACCATAACCTAACTTTCTGCTGTCATATTTCAGTTAAAATGCCATAACCAATGTTTTAAGATAAATAACGCATGGATATTGGTTAAAAAGGTTTTATCAACTGTTCAAACAGAAGATATAGATCTGGTACAAATTCTAGGTAAATCATTCGACTCTGTCGGTATTTCATTTCTGACATTTGTCAAATTTTTGTGTAACACCTGCAGGCAACACCAAAATATTCTAATAAACTAAAGACAACTTGGACGATGCCATGATTATACACAACCACCCGCCATATTGGGCAAACATTTATTCCTCTATTTGATATTAAATAATTATACTTCAGTTCGAAATTACAGATATAAAGTAATAAACATTAGTGTAATTGTGTCTAGATAAAGGATTTGTGGAAGATTTAACGCAGACAAGTTCAGTTTTCCATCTTAAAAATCTAGACATACTTTTGATCATTATCAAAATATGAATCAAAAACGAAGAAATTGCGTAACTACTTTGCACGATAATCACAATAAAATTTGCCGCGCAAGTAATTCAATAGCCCTATATCATAATGTAGAAGTTTATCATATACCTGTGTATGAAATTCACAATGACCGATATGTAAGTAAACAAGATGACTGTATTGTGTTAGTTATATATTCTTTAGTTCGTCTATACAATACATAAGAAATCGTTTGGTTGCAATAAAGTAGAATCACGTAACAGAATAGTTGTACAGTTGACAAAAACTGAATCTTGCACTGACGCAAATGTCCTATAGCGGCTGCAGGAGGCTTACACTTTTGTTGTATAACTGTTACCTGCAGCCCTTAAACAACACCTTAAATGACTGAAGTGTCCTATTACGTGTGCCCATTCCGCTTGTATAGCTGTTCTAAGAGAGTTTTGCCAATGTTCTTACAGTATACAATGCTGTGTAAGGAATACTGTATAATCATTCTTGCAACTCTAATAGGAGTGATAATTGTTAGTTGGGCAGTTATGTTCGGCACAAGATGGTTCCTCCTAGAAATAAGTATTCAATTCTGTAATATTGCTACAACGTTGTAAATCTTACATAGTTACATCAAACCTTAGCCCATACCGCGGCGAACATTGTCTGCTCAAAACTCTACCCGTCAATACTCGTATAAATTAAATATCGAAAAACAAAGTTTGAACGATTTAGAATTTTCTTGCATGTAGCTCTACTGCACCTGGATCTATTTGCAAAACCATTAGATCTTTTTCGGCCTAATGATAGTAATAACCTTGGCAAACTCTAAGCGATACTTGTAAACTTATAAATGATCCGGGAATTAGCGGACACATCGACACAGCCAAACGGAAATAAGTATTACTGCGTATTTCGAAATGTACGTGTCACATAACGTCGTAAGAAGATCGATGTTTGTCATGACCACAATCCTTTCTGGCGAATTACTGGTATGGAAAGTGAAATTGTACGGTCGCAGTATTTATAACTTACGTTTTGGACCTGATTAGCAATTGCTCCAAAAGAGACTGCCCAAAATAACGACATATATCCGAGGACATCTGTGAAGCCATCTTTGATCTGATTTGCTAAGCTGAAACAGAAAATCGCTATTAATTTGAATGGAAAAATTTTAAATAAGACAATGGGTATTAGTTACAACGAACAAGTCCAAAGATACACCTTCCAGCACAATTTTGTTTCTGAAGGATTACACTATAATTAGGTTATAAATCTGGCGCGATTTTCAAGCAGAAGTTTAAAACTTCTAGAGTTTCTATATTTGTGGTGAACAACAAATTCTAATAGATTAGATCTGTTTAGGCTGCATTGTTTGTCGCCAAAATTGTGTAGCTTTATTCGATCATTTTGCCGGAATTGCCTACCATTGTCTACGAAAGAAATTAACCAATGCACCGTCGTACATTTTTCTCTGGAATGGGGAATGACGTAGCAAATCATACTGGGTGTGGCAAAAAAAACGGAAGTAATTATTTGTCAACTGTACAAATGAAAATACAGGAAAAAATACTAGGGCATTTGCTTGAATTATACTCGGCATCTCTAAGTAGTTGTTATGAATAAATGGCCAAAAGCAAATAAGTAGTTGAGCATAATATGAAATCACTGCTACTGTACGATTGTCACTATATTTAACCAATAATAAGGTTTGGAACCAACTTAACTGATTCGATATTCATGGTTTTTTTTTTGGTGCACAGCATATCATTAATAAAATCTGGTAGCACTAAACTGAGAGCGCAACATTACTGTTTGTACCACGTAAGAAAAGACCTTTCCCGAGAAACTTCGGATTCAAAATTAAAGTAGATAAGACTCAAAGCTAAGCTTTGGTTGGTCTCATTCACTATGCATCAGCTAGTTGAGCCTTGAAATGAGCACTCAAAGAAACAAGAATTAGAACGACTGATTCAGAATTGTCCAGGTAAGAGCCCACCCAACTGGCAAAGTAGTGCCATGAGCTTTTGGTAAAAGAACCGTTCAGCCATAAAAGCTCTCTATTGTTGTTGCCTGAACACCAAAATTCTGGCTTAATGCTGTGTGGAATGCAAATCTGCTTTCTGCAACATATTTGCTCTAAAATGAGGTGTTTAAAATATTCTTATAGCATAGTTACACAACACCTTATAGGTCAAATTTTCAACCGTTGCATAGACGTGTATACAACTATTTTCGATGGCATATTTGCAGGTTAGTCAAAATGGTTGTGTTGTGGCATCCATGGTAACATTTACAAAACAAACACGAGCCTTGTTGTTTTGCTGTGCAAATTTACTACTTTAGCCAACAAATTGCTCCCAATGGAAGCACTTATACAACTGTTGTTTAGTAACTGTTAAAGGATGTACATATGCTAAATATGTTGGTATACAACTTCAACATAACCTAACTTTCTGCTGTCATATTTTTGTTAAAATGCCATAACCGATGTTTTAAGACAAACAACGCATGCATATTGGTTAAAAAGGTTTCGACTCTGTCGGTATTTCATTTCTGACATTTGTCAAATTGTTGTATAACACCTGCAGGCAACACCAAAATATTCTAATAAACTAAAGACAACATGGACGATGCCATGATTATACACAACCACCAGCCATATTGGGCAAACATTTATTCCTCTATTCAATATTAAATAATTATGTTTTAGTTCGAAATTACAGATGTAAAGTGTAATTGTGTCTAAATATAGGATTTGTGGAAGATTTAACGCAGATAAGTTCAGTTTTCCATCTTAAAAAGTCTAGACATACTTTTGATCATTATCGAAATAAGAATCAAAAACGAAGCCCTTAGAAATTGCGTAACTACTTTGCAAGATAATCACAATAAAATTTGCTGCGCAAGTAATTCAATAGCACTATATCACAGTGTAGAAGTTTATCATATACCTTTGTATGAAATTCACAATGGCCGATATGTAAGTAAACAAGATGACTGTATTGTGTTAGTTATATATATTCTTCACTTCGTCTAAACAATACATAAGAAATAGTTTGGTTGCAATAAAGTAGAATCACGTAACAGAATAGTTGTATAGTTGACAAAAACTGAATCCTGCACTGACGC